TACTGAGTTTAAATAAGACTTGTGAGAGGCAGAAGAACAGGACAAGTTACCTAATCTAGCATTTTGTACTATTCATGTTTTCAGAGCATACTGCATAAAATTATCCTTTAAAATAAGGATTTCCCTGAACCAAAAAGGAACTGACAGTTTTTTGAGCACCTATTATGTATTGAAGCATACAATGAACCTACCAAAATTTACCTTATTCACCCCCACAACTCGTGTTAAAGACTTCACCTAAAGTCACATTGATAGTCAACCCTGGAGCCAGATTCTAACCTAGGTCTGACTCAAAGGGGCAGGCGCTTGTCACGACACTATACCAGAATCTGAACTGCAGCATTTTGAAAATCTAACACTTGCACATCCCACAGCTTCGAAGGACGCTTCTTTCAGTCCTTTGCATGTTATTCAAGGCCACTGTTCAATTAAAGATGGAAACATCCAGAAAGAATGACTGCCTTTAGAGGACAACCACAGATGGAAGGGAGGGTAACTTAAAGCCTTTTGCACTTCTTAAACTTATACCATGTGCAAATGTTATCTTTTCTAAATACAGAAAGAGTGAGAGAAAGACAGAAGGAAGAAAAGATGATGGAAATGAGAATGAGGAAAATAAAATAATTAGTTACCTTCTAGCCTTTCCTACCCTAAAATTTCTTCCACCTTTAGGGAGTCTCGGCAAGTACTATAAGGAATACTAAAAGGAAACATCCCCTACATAACCCTACTCCTTCTCCAACCCAAGTCCAATATCAGATTCTGGCCAGTTCTCTTAAAACCAAGAAAATACCCAAGTCAGAAAGAAGTGGAATTATCTTATCCTGCCTTACCCAGAACCAATCTCTATGCAATCTAAGCCTCTCTTCACCCCTGTAGGCAAAGAAAGACCATTTATCCCTCTCATACCAGGAAGGACAAAAGAATTTCAGCATTTTAGGACTTGGGCCTCAGACATTCAGAGTCAGAGGAAATAGAATAGAAAGCCAATGAACTAAAAGTTATTTGAGCTGCATATCTCCTTTTTGTCATAGATAATTTTACCAGAGGTAAGATACACAACATAGAAATGATGGTAGGAGTTATTATGCAGATGAAGTAGAAGTAACTATGCCAAGTTTCAATTCAATTCCACGAGCACCTATATATATACACCTCTATTGGTGAGAACTTCCCACTCGGCCCACCAGAGCCATACGGCTCCACTCGCTGTGTGTATGAAGGATGCAAGCGAGAAAGGCCTTTCCTTGTCATTGTTCCCACCATAAAATTTTCATTCAGAGAGCTGAATTGAACATTTTAAATGTGTGAATTGTGTGGTATGTGAATTATATCTTAATAAATCTGTTAAAAAGAAAAGGAGAGAGGGAGGAAGGGAGGGAGGGAGGGAGGGAGGGAGGGAGAGAGAGAGAGAGAGAGAGAGAGAGAGAGAGAGAGAGAGAGAGACAACCAGAGCTGGAAACGTTCCCAAATGCCTCTCTAAAATTAAACACCCTCTTGTTACCCAGTGAGTTGCTGAATCAATTCAACCATCCCAGATGTTTTCCTTATTTCCTGCCGTTGAGCTGTACTCTATAATTTAGTATTAGCAGAAAGTTAATAAAGACACATCCTTTGTAGCTAAATTTTACACAATGTTTACCATTTCCCTCCAACATACACATTTCCTCTGTTTTCCCACTGCAGCTGAGCTGCCAAAACCTTTTAAGAGAATAATTACCCTTCTACACCCCTTCTACTTTAACGATAGTCCCAATCCTTGTGCATAATCAAGTGTTTACGGCAAACTGTTTTGCTTGCCTCTCCAGGAGGTTTTAATTCACCAAACTAGAAGTGGATTTCCCCCCATTTGGGGGGCAATAGTAGGATTTGGGAGTGGTGTGGGGTTTCATTTTGGGTAATGAAATATCCTAAAATAAGATAGTGAGGACAGCTGCACAAATCTGTGAATATACTAAAAAACCATTGATTTGAATACTTTAAATGAGTAAACTATACAATATGTGAATTATATCTTATACAGCTGTTTTTAAAATAGATTTTACTCTACATCCAAATGTCCATCAACTAATGAACAGATGAACAAAATGTGATATAGTCATACAATAGAATATCACTTAACAAAAAGAGATAAAATATTGATATATGCAACATATGAAACTCAGAAACATTATGCTAAGAGAGAGAAGCCAGCCACAAAACACAAAAGAGCACATACTGCATGATTCCCTCATACAAAATATCCCCAAAAGGCAAATCCAGAGAGGCAGAGAGCAGATTAGTGGTTGCCTGGGGCTGAGAGTGGGAAGAGGAAGTGATTGTAAATAGGCACAAGGCATCTTTAGGGGGTGATGGAAATGTTCTAAAACTGTATTGTAATAGTTTCACAACTCTGTAAATTTACTAACAATCATTGAATTGTACAATTTAAACATTAGTTTATGGTCTGTAAAGTATACCTCAATAAAGCTGTTTTAAAAAAGAAAGTACTCTAAAAGAGGCCAATAACACAATTTTTTAATGGACAAACTATATGAACAATTTACAGAAGTGAAAATATAAACAATTTACAGAATGAACTAAAAGCACAAAGTGATGCTTAACCTCACTAGTAATAAGAGAACTAACTGCTAATTAAAACTATAATGTATACCAAACAGATTAGCAAAAACTCCATGGAAACAACTTAAATGTCTACCAATAGAAAAACAAACAAATATATGATGATATAATCACATAATGGAATAACATCTAGTGGCGAAAATAAATGAATTAATGTCACATACATTGCAATGCCATTAAAATAAATTTAAAATCATGTACAATGATACTACAAATAGCTTAAGGGATAGTAAGTACAAATTCAGGATAGTGATCCTTTCAAGTAGAGAATTTTCAGCCGAGTGATGGGTACGTAAGCATTTTACTCTTCATATTTTTTATATGTTTGAACTATTTCATAATAAACTAAAATTTGAAAATTTACTCTAAAAATGTTTAATTTATGCCCTAGCCAGTTTGGCTCAGTGGATAGAGCGTCAGCCTGCGGACTGAAGGGTCCCTGGTTTGATTCTGGTCCAGGGCACATGCTCAATCCCCAGTAGTGGGTGTGCAGGAGATAGCCAATCAATGATTTTCTCTCATCACTGATGTTTCTATCTCTCTCTCCCTCTACCTTCTTCTCTGAAATCAATAAAAAAAAAATATTTAAAAAATAAATAAGTAAATTTACTACCGTAGAAAAGAAATGAGATATGTGGAATATAAAATTTTAAATTATTGAGAAATAATTCACATGCCATAAAATTCACTCTCTTAAAATATACAATCCAGTAGCTTTTAGAATATTACAAGGTTGTATAACAATCACCACTGCCTACTCCAAGAATATTTTTTCCTTACCTCAAAAAGAAACCCCATACCCATTAGCAGCTACTCCCAATTTTCTATCTACAATTCCTAGCAACCACTAACCTACTTTCTATTTCTATGAATCTACCTACCCTGAACATTTCAGATAGATCGAATCATACAATGTGTGGTCTTTTGTGTCTGGCTTCTTTTTAAATATTTTAAATCATAATTTTTTTTAAAATCCTCATCCAAGGATATTTTTCCATTGATTTTTAGGGAGAGTGGAAGAAAGAGGGAAAGACAGAGAGAAACATTGATGTGAGAGAGGCACATCAATTGGTTGCCTCCTGCATGAGCCCCGACCAGGACCTGGGTCCGGGAGGAGCCTGCAACTGAGATACATGCCCTTGACCAGAATCGAACCCAGGAGGGTTCAGTCTGCAGGCCAACACTCTATCCACTGAGCCAAACCAATTAGGGCTTAAATTATAATTTTTAAATTCATCTATATTGCCAGACCGGTTTGGCTCAGTGGATAGAGCATCAGCCTGCGGACTGAAGGGTCCCAGGTTCGATTCCGGTCAAGGGCATGTACCTTGGTTGCGGGCACATTCCCAATAGGGGGTGTGCAGGAGGCGGCTGGTCGATGTTTCTCTCTCATCGATGTTTCTGACTCTCTGTCCCTCTCCCTTCCTCTCTGTAAAAAATCAATAAAATATATTTAAAAAAAAAAAAAATTCATCTATATTGTTGCATGTATCCATACTCCATTCCTTTTTATGGCTAAAAAATACTCCATTTTGTAAATATATCACATTTGTTTATCCACTGATAGACTTTTGGGTTGTTTCCGTATCTGGGCTATTTTGAACAGTGCTGCTATGAATATTCTTGTATAGATTTTTATGTGAACATGTTTTCATTTTTCTTGGGTATACATCTAGGAGTGGAACTTCTGGGTCATATAACTCCATGTTTAACTTTGTGAGGAACTGCCAAACTATTTTCCAAAGTGGCTGCACCTTTTTACATGGAGCATAGTTTTGAAAGCTGTTTACTCTTGTAAATATTTTTCATTTATAAATTTATTGAAATAAACTTTAAAAAGGAATATTTACCCCAAGCCTAACCCAATGGATTTTATTTTTGACTAAAAATATATATCCTATATATATATCATATAATCATAGAGGATATACAATTTACTTTTTTTTTCATTTTCAGTATATATTTAGGTAGTCATTTGCAGGATCCATTTATTCAGACTTCTTTATGATGGTAATTACTATCAAAAGCTACAAAGTAGATTCAAAATGTTCATACACTTTATGAAGCCTACAGTATTGTATTCAATTTCTGTCAATTCCTTTAAAAGGCACGCTTTCATCAGTGGCATGTGCTAGTTAGAGAATATAAACTGTTTAACATTCAGATAAATGATGAAAAATGACGATTTCAAAATGTATCAGTTTTTTTTCACTAACAGCTTATAGTTTCCGGTTTCAAAAAGTGAAAAGATTTTGATGATTTGGAATAATTTAAGATTAACCATTCCAATTCTTAAAGAACCAATTAAAAAGGCAAAATTATTTTTAAAGACTAAGTAAAAATATTCGCTAAAAACATTAGTGACTCGAATTACCAACCTTAAATACATCCTCAATACATCTACTAAGTTCTTCTTCTGTCACCAAAATGGTCCCTGGCACCATGTCATTCTCTGGAATCTCTAGAGAACAAAAACCAAAATTACCCACACTCAAGCCAACAGAAATAGCATGTCATTTTTTTTTTTTTTGCCATTTTTTAATAACATACTGATTCTAGGATAGATTCCTATTAAATATATAAAGGAATTTTAAGTATTTACTCAACTATTATGCTTGTCATGTCTGATTAATTTCACTTCACCAAGGCTCAGTCTGGTGAAGTTTTACTATGCAAAAGAATTAGATTTTTTCCATGACTCCACATCTCCCACCACATACACCCAGAAAAATTCACACTACAAAATGACTTCTACACAAAGTCTACACAGACCTAAATTTGGTTTACCCATAACACCCAACATTTTTTTCTTCATTTTTAACCTTAGGAACTACTATCTAGAAAAAAAAAATTTTTTTTAATTACCAAGAGTGCTATAATGATACTCAGTATCCCAGCATTAAACTCAATAAAGCTATACATACTAAGGGAAGTGTTGAAAATGTCAATCTTTTAAGACATTAAAACAGAACTAAACACACTGTCCAAATATGGGGAAAATCTGAGCATCAAAATAAATGACAGAAATGTTTGGTAACCAATTAAAAAAGAATCTAAATATCTATATTGATATTTAAATAATAATTTTTTAAAGGGGCGAGGCAGGAAAAAAGAAAAGCTCTTCTTTACAGAATACTAATAAAATAGAAATAACGAAAGAAATAGTCACCATTTTACTGGTAAGACTCATCAATGGATTCTAAACCATAGTATGAAAGGCTATTGGGAAATAGTATTCACACAGACTATCACACAGTCTCAGACTATCATGACATAGCTTACTTATTAATTACATAGGGAGGACAGTATTTTACAATGGAGAAATCTGTGTGCTACTGCATTAACTAAATTATCAAATATAACATTGCTAATAATGGGATAAAGTGATTACATATGTCCCTTAATCTGATGGAGATTGAAAAAAGAACCATCATCCTATGTAGTATTCCTGCCAAAATGTTTAACCTGGATCTGATCATGAGGAAACAATTAAACAAATACAAATTAAGAAACATGCCCTAGCTGGTTTGGCTCAGTGGATAGAGCATCGCCCTGCGGACTGAACCCTCCTGGGTTCAATTCTGGTCAAGGGCACATACCCGGGTTGCAGGCTCGGTCCCTGGTGAGGGGGCATGCGGGAAGCAGCTGATCAATGATTCTCTCTCATCAGTGATGTTTCTCTCTCTCTCTCTCTCTCTCTCCCTCTCCCTTCCTCTCTGAAATCAATAAAAATATATTAAAAAAAAAAAAAAGAAACATTGTATAACCTAGGCTCTTCAAAAATATGGGGTGAAAGACAAACAAAAAACTGGAGAAGTATTCTATATTAAAGGAAACTAAAAAGACATCGAGGAATGTAATGCATGATTCTTGGCTGGATTCTGGATTTTAAAAAGTAGTTATAAAGGAAATTCTTGGGACAGTTAGAGAAATCTGAATAAAATCTGTATATTAGATGATGTCTACAACTAACTCTCAAATGTTTCAGAAAAAAATGTACACGTATTGAAAGAGAAAGATAAAGCAAATGTGGCCAAAAAATAACAGTTGGTCAATCTAGGTTCACTGTATCTTCTTAGAACTTTTGTGAACTGGATTTTTCAAAATAAAAAGTTGGGGGAGAAAAAGGTAAAACTAAAGTCACTGATATACCACAGACTGAAGTCATTTAAACCTGAAACACTGAAGAAGATCCTTTAGAGGGGCACCCAACCAACAGACTTCCTCCTTCACCTGCTGTATTTAAACATCGATGAAGAGGCGCTAGTACTGGCTGAAGCAAATACTTTGCTGCCAATTGTGGGTGTTCTCTTGACATAGTTATGAAGGTAGTGGTGGCAACTCTCTGAAATTGTCGTGCTGTTAATTTATCTTGAAAGTGAAATAAATCCAGGATCTAAAAGAAAAAGTATATGAAGAAAATAAATACCAGCCTCTTTACAAAGGGCATTACATTAACTAAAAAGAAAAAGCACTAATTTATTTTTAAAAAAATATATTTTATTGATTTTTTACAGAGAGGAAGGGAGAGGGATAGAGAGTTAGAAACATCGATGAGAGAGAAACACCGATCACCTGCCTCCTGCACACCCCTCACTGGGGATGTGCCCGCAACCAAGGTACATGCCCTTGACCCGAATTGAACCTAGGACCCTTCAGTCCGCAGGCCGACGCTCCATCCACTGAGCCAAACTGGTCAGGGCAGCACTAATTTCTTTAGGCCAAAAAATAAACTCACTGCAATAACACTGATTCAACAAAATCGGTTTTTTTAAATTTAACAACCCAGTATCAAAGGTTGTGAGAACTGAAGAGACTATGTTTTCATTAAATAATTTTATAAAATTTATAAAATATATGCTCATTGTAGAAAATCTAGAAAATAATGTTTTGAGAATAAAATTAAATCTTCCTAAATCACTAATAATCATTTTTGGTGTATTTTTTCCAATATACAGTATTTCTGTATAATTCTTTTTTCTTTTTAATTGAAGCCACACTTAATATTCAGTTTTGTATATTATTAAAATAATCATCTATACATATAAAACCCTAATATGCAAATAGACCGAACGTGGAACAACCGAATAACCAGTTGCTATGACGTGCGCTGACCACCAGGAGGCGTGCGTGGAACATGGTGGGCGTCGGCCGTGGTGGGATGGTGGAACAGTTTAGTAGGGCACCAGACCAAGGCGGGGTACTTGTCGCTGTCATTGGGGTGAGCCTCTGGTGGTTACTGAAAATTCTTTGCACCCCCGTGCCGCGGTCCCATCTAGTGCTCAGACCCGCTGCTGGTGCTGGCCCTAATCGCTCTGTGCCATCAGCGGGTGCTAGTGGGGCCGGCGCCATCAGCGCGTGGGAGCAGCGGGAGCAGGGCTGCCGGCAGAGAGGGGACTGGGGGCTGCAGCAGGGCTGGTGGGGGAGCACAGGATGGGCCAAGACCCACCCCTGTGCCCACCGCAGCCTCGTGGCCCACAGTTCAAGGTGCACGAATTCATGCACTGGGCCCCCAGTACTGTTATAAATTCCTCAAAAATACTTTATGGTGATATATATCTATTCAAGCTGCAGGTAAGAATTTATTAAATTATTTCCTAATATCCAGACATTCTGTTTATCACCAAATTTTGCTATTATAAAAGCACCACTAAATGAAATTACTGGGTCAAGGTATATAAGTACATTTAGAGCCTGAAGTTCGCCTGTCGTGTATGAACAGCCTATTTTCTCAAAGACAAACATAGATCTCCAGTGCCTCGGTGGGTTTACCACACTCTAAAAGCAACTGATAGAAAAATATATTTCTGTTCCTGACTTAAAAGTGACTCTTGCACTTTTTGCAGGCAGGAGAATCTCTGTCCAAAAACTGTATGTGACCTCTGACACTGCCAGAAAGACTCAGCAAGCCTGAAACCTGTGACTTGATTTTAGCCTTTGTCAAGTACCAAAACTAAAGCTCCTAGTTTCAGAAAATATTTATTCATCATTGCAAATGCTAACTTTGTCCTGTAAGATTATTTATATGTAGTATATTTCACTATAAAATCCTTACATTGTGATATTGTGTTCTCATGCATGCCTGCCCAAGAGAACCCTGATCAGCATAACAAAGAACTACTTTCTTTGGACTATACTTCAAAAGCCATGTCTTACATTTAATTGCATGGGGAGTACTGATTAAGAAAACTCCTTCCAGCCGAAACCGGTTTGGCTCAGTGGATAGAGCGTCGGCCTGTGGACTGAAAGGTCCCGGGTTCGATTCCGGTCAAGGGCATGTGCCTTGGTTGCGGGCACATCCCCGGTGGGGGGTGTGCAGGAGGCAGCTGATCCATGTTTCTCTCTCATCGATGTTTCTAACTCTCTGTCCCTCTCCCTTCCTCTCTGTAAGAAAATCAATAAAATATATTTAAAAAAAAAAAAAAAAAAAAGAAAACTCCTTCCAGCCCTAACCGGTTTGGCTCAGTGGATAGAGCATCAGCCTGCAGAGTGAGGGGTCCCAGGTTCAATTCTGGTCAAGGGCATGTACCTTGGTTGCAGACACATCCCCAGTAGGGGGTGTGCAGGAGGCAGCTGATCGATGTTTCTAACTCTCTATCCCTCTCCCTTCCTCTCTGTAAAAAATCAATAAAATATATTTTTTAAAAAAGAAAAAAGAAAGAAAACTCCTTCCACATTTTTCACCTATCAGATTAGCAAAGATAAAAAAGTTTTGTAGCATGTTGTATAGGCAAAAGTGTAGGAAAACAGATACATAAATAATATCAGTTAAAAATTTAACTGTATATACCCTTTGAACTAGTCATTTCAATTCTGGGAATTTTTCCTATGGTAGGACTTGCACATGTACAAGATTTATGAGTATTAACTGTAGCATGGCTTATAATAGCAAAATAATGAAAACAACTCAAATATCCATTAGGGGACTGGTTAAAAAAATTACGGTACAGTAATGTAATGCAATACTACCCACCCACGAAAAAGAATTAGGCAGCTCTATATGAAATGACTATATGAAATGATCTCCAAGGTACATTGTTAAGTTAAAAAAGCAAAATGAAAAACAGTGTGTGTAATATGTTATCATTTGGATGAAAATTAGACTATATATACACATACAAATACATATAGTTATATATACATAACACACAGAATATTTCTGGAAAATAAACAAGAAATTAGTAACAGTGACTACTTCTGAGGGACTAGAAGTGAGAGGGAAACTTACAATTCTGTTAACTCTTTTGTGCTTTTTAAATTACTAGTATGTGTCATATTAATTTACCTTATTTATTTAATACCTATTTTTAGCTAATTAAAAACACAGAAAAGATAAGGACCAAGATAAAACTTTAGTTTCATAGCCCAACTCTGACAGCAAGCTGGGTGGGCTACTTACTTATCTGATAGTGATGAAGTGTACTTAAATCTAACAATTAGGTCGGTGTCTCCAACAGGTTTTTAATTCCCTTATTAAGAAGGTCACTCACTGAACAATAAACTTAAATATTATATTGCTTTTACCTCAATATTAGAGGAACATTAAAAATCCTCTTTCTGTAAATAAGCAGAAAATCCTCAAACATTCAAAAGAAACAAAATGATTTACCTGGGGGCAGGTATCTCTATAGTAGTCCTCTGGTGAAAGAGACTGCTGGGGACAAGAGGCCAAAATCTTTGCAATCAAGTCACACTTTTTCCAGTCAGCAGCTGTTGCCTCTGCATCACTCCCACCAGCCACTCCAGCTGTCAGCAATGAATAGAGATGTCAAAAACTCACAGCAGTTTCCCAGGTCAGGTCCTAAAAATTTGAGATAGTCCTGGCTGGGTTTTCTCAGTGGTTAGAGTGTGGGCCCATGGACCAAAAGGTCGCAGATTCGATTCCGGGTCAAGGGCATGTACCTCGACTGCAAGTTCAATCCCCAGCCCCCAGTCAGGACTGAAGTGGGAAGCAACCAACTGATGTGTCTCTCTCACGTCAATGTTTCTCTCCCTCTCCCTCTCCCTCTCCCTTACCCTCACCCTCACCCTTACCCTCTCCCCTCACTCCCTCCCACTCTCTCTAAAAATCAAAGGAAATAATATTCTTGGGTGAGGATAACAAAAAAACACAAACTTTAACAATTACCAGGCATATGCATACAATTCAGTCATAAAAAGGAATAAAGGGCTGATTCATGTACAACACGACTAAACCTAAAAAAAAAAAAAAAAAAAAAATGAAGCTAAGTGAAAGAAGCCAAACACAAAGATTACAAATTGTACCATTCATTCCATTTGGATGACATATCCAGAACAGGCAAATTCATTGAGACAGAAAGTAGATTAGTGCTTACAAGGAACTGGATGAGGGGACAGGGGGAGTAATTGGGGGGGATAATGATAAAAATGTTTGGAATTTGTGGTGGTGCTGTTGGCACACAGACCATGTGCATCCCCAAGCACGACCTCTACCCCAACGACCTGTATTATACTTTAATGTATATGTGAACATATTGAAAATAATGTTTGTTTTTTCCTGGTTTTTGTTTTGCTTTTAGCCTTTACGTGCTAGGATCACAGGCAGACTTTGTAAGGATGGCTGAAGTTCTCCTGCAAGGTTTAATTTGTTATCATGTATATATTCCAAAGCAAGCTGCCTTGTGGTTTCGGCCAGCCTTGTGCTATGTTGATAAGATTAATTTACTGCTTAAAATCACTTTATCCAATTTTTACTGAACTTTTTATGTAAAAAATAAAATTAATTAAAGAAAAATGTTTGGAATTAGATATTAGTAATGGCTACACAACTTTGTGAATATACTAAAAACCATTGAATTGTATTCTTTATTTTTAACTATATTTTTTAAGATTGTTTATTTGAGATTTTTCTTGTTTCTTTTTTCTTTTCTTTTCTTTTTTTTATTGATTTCAAAGAGGAAGGGAGAGGGAGAGAGAGATAGAAACATCAATGATGAGAAAGAATCATTGATTGGCTGCCTCTTTTTTTTTTTTTAATATATATTTTACAGAGAGGAAGGGAGAGGGATAGAGAGTTAGAAACATCGATGAGAGAGAAACATCGATCAGCTGCCTCCTGCACACTCCCTACTGTGGATGTGCCCGCAACCAAGGTACATGCCCTTGACCGGAATCGAACCTGGGACCCTTGAGTCTGCAGGCCAATGCTCTATCCATTGAGCCAAACTGGTTAGGGCAATCGGCTGCCTCTTGCACGGCCCCAACTGGGGATCGAGCCCGCAACCCGGGCATGTGCCCTTGACCAGAATCGAATCCAGGACTCTTCAGTCCGCAAGCCGACACTCTATCCACTGAGCCAAACCGGCTAGGGCTATTTTTAACTATTCTTAAAATTTTTTTTAATTGATTGATTTTTAGAGAGAGAGGGAGAGTTGAGAGAGGGACGAGAGAAACACCAATTTGTTGTTCCACTTATGTATGTATTCACTGGTTGATTCTTGTATGTTCCCTTTTCTTATATGTGCCCTGATCGGGAATTGAATCCTCAACCTTGGCATATCAGGACCACACTCTAACCAACTGAGCTTCCTGGCCATGGTGTGGAAATGAATCTAAAACTTCATTCCAAAGTGTGTATCTCTAAGGTATGTGTAGCTTCAAGATAACTATTTTGTGTTTTAAGTCCTGAGGCGAAGTCCTCTTAGCACCCTGCTACAAAGCCTTTTCCCACTGAGAATTTCACATTTTCTTTGGGGTTTTACTTAAACTTTCTGTGCAATGTTTTCCTCTGATACTACAAATCATTTGAAATAGCCCACAATATCATTCAACAATGTGAGCAGTGTGTCACGACTGTTTTAGAAAAATGGCAAGAAAATAGTTTCTTTGGAAAAGAAATTCATTAAGGTTTGACTTCCAAGTCTAACTTCCTTAATCTCCACAAAGACACATATTGTCTCAATCAAGTTTAAAGGCCAATGTTAAAGACCAGTAATCCACTCTGGCTTGAAGGAAAATGGATACTACAGTAACAGAAACATTTTCTTTCTTACCACCCACTCCTTCCAAAATGCCCCGGACCACTGCCTGCACACCACTGGGTCTCATCAACCTTTCGGAGAGCAGCTGCCCACACAGACGCCGAAGCCAAGCGGGGGCCCGACATCTAACTTGTGTCTTCACATCTGTGCAGGACTGAAAAAGGAAGGGAAAGGTATGAACTGAATGTCAGTGAAATAGATGGGATGTAGAAATTATTAAAACATATGTAATGAGACAGACTGACAATAAACAGTATGCTATAGAGACTTCAAAACATTTTTTTCCTTAAAAAAAAAAAAGGCTCCTTTACAAAACCTTCTTCCTCATATTTGATTTAACTTTTAAGAAAGTAAAAATACAGTAAAACTCCAAGTGAAACAGCAAGTGAAGTTTCAAACCCAGAAATAGACAAACACATCTGTGAATAAAATACAGATTTGGGGAACACAAGGTTAACGTGCCCATTAACCCTGAATGCAGTCCTTCCAGTTGAATCTAGCTTCCAAAGAAGATTCCTCTGAACACTACTCACCACCAGGAGGACAGTTCACAACAGAGGGCAGGCACTCTAGTCTTGCCTCCACGGTCTTACCTACTATGATTCCTTGCGACACAGCAATTTCAAGAAAGAGGTGGATTTCTTCAAGGGCTCCCTTTTTAGAGTTCTGTGGCGCCATCATGAACAAACAGACTTGTGTCCTTTATTTTGAGCCAAAATGTTAACCATTTTTGGACAGTTGGGAACCCAAAATTAGTGAAAGAAACAATCCTAACTAACCTGTCCTCTCTTATATTTATGGAGGAGTAATAATTACCATTTATTGTTAAGAACCTTCCACATAATCTCAAAGGGACTATAAAAAAGGCACTGCTGTCATCCCATTTTATGGATAAGGAAAGTGAGGGGTGGAAAGGTGTATTAATTCATACAGCTGCGCACTGAGGTTGAATTCTAGTATGCCTAACTTACAGTCTCTTTTTACCACATTATCATTATAATGCATTTGTTTTAATCTGGCAAACTGTGAATTTATTCAGAGAAGCAGAGTGTGAGGCCAGAGGAGTCCTATGGGGGGGGGGGGGGGCGGCTATAGTAATGCTTTAGGGATGAGATGAAAATGACTTCAACTGGGAGATATCTTTGTCTCCAGCTTCAGCTGGTCCTTGTTCCTGACCTACAGCCAATTCCTTTGGCCCCTCACGCTTTACTCACCTAGATTTATGACTAAACTCTAGGTCCTAAGAGCAAATAGGTAATTCCCATCTACATCCCCAAATTCAGTCATTGCAGATACATAATTATTTTTAAGGAAAAAAGGAATTATCGTATGCCTAGCCCTAGGCGAATATATACTATTACTTTTTTTTCCCCAAAGGAGCTAAAAATAGTCCCAATAACAGCTCTAATTTTAATTTCTTGACTTCAAATACTCCATTCAAAGATAAGATATTCAAATATTTCTGCCAAAAGAATGTATTGTCAAACAGCCAAATTTTAGTTTAAAAATATCTAGTTTCAGAATGAATATATTTTAAATAAAACTACCATATTCTTGGGAATAGTGTTCATCATTCCATTAAAAGAAAAATCCTTTTTAAGTTAACCTAAGGATCAGTGAAATTTAGTTTTCCAAATACCATGTAATGATCTAAGAGATGAAATGAGGTTTAACTAGATTATCAAATTTCCCAGGAGAAGGGCCACTTCCAGAAGACAGCACATTATAATTAATGATTCACCCACGAGAGTCCCTAGGCCTGAATACCGACCTGGGGTGGTCCTCCCTGGAGGATAAGTAATTCTCGAACTGCTAATGGTTGATACACTTGATCCAAGATGTCTCTCAAGGCCTCCCTAGATAGGACTCTTTCCTCTTCGGTTAACACCTAAAAAAAAACATGCAGTACTTGGCTTTTGCAGAATACAAAGCAGGCAGGCAATCAAAGGTGATATTTTACAATACTGCACAGACACTTGTGAGGGGAGAGAGAAGAAGGCTTCTTGATTTCCTTCCGCCTGGAGGAAGCCACACCACAGAGACACTCCTGCCCTCTCTCCATCCCCGCACTCAGCTCTGGGGAGAGTTTACTGACTTACCTCAATGGCGAGGCGGGAATAAGCTTACTTATTGGCTGGTTTTGTCATGCACAGTCAGCGCGTTCCTCTGCCACCTCTTCAGAGCAAGTGCACATTCTGTTCTGCTCTTTCTGACTGTGCATTTTACAGAGGCACGTCCCCTGCCGGAAGGCAGAGGCACTGCAGTTTCCCAGCCCTCCTTAAAACTGGGGGGGTAGTAAGAGTGTCTGATTCTGGAATTCACTGTTGGGAAGCCCATTTGTCTCCATCTAGAAGCAATATCCTCCAACTTTGAATTTATGAGTAATGTTTGTTTTAATTTTTTACTTATTTTAGAGGGAGGAAGGGAGGGGGAGAGAGAGGAAGAGAAAGAGAGAGAAACATCGATGTGAGAGAGAAACAATGATCTGTTGCCTCTCATACACACCCCGACCTGGGATCAAACTCACAACCTCTTGGTACATGGGACGACGTTCCAAGCAACAGAGCCACCGGCCAGGGCTAAAGGTCATCTCTCTTACTCTGTTGAATGTCTTTTAATTCATTAAGAACTTGGGCAGCAAAGAGGGGTGCTGTTCATTGGGCCTCAACAGTACTGTCCCCCTTCAGTAACTCAGTCAAGCAGTCAGTGTGCTGCCCATTATCATTTAGCAAACGGAGGTACAGGAGCTGCTTAGGGTATACCTGGGACTTGTCCAGCTTCATGATGACACCCACCATGTTTCCCCTTCTGCCAACTTCTCCCACCTTCATACTTGGTCCTTTCTTTTGTCTCTCCTGCCCGAGACCCCTGGGGCACTGCCTGGCCCCAGTGATATTAATAAAACCTGTCAATCAGATGCCCCTATCTCAGAAGTCCAGATAGAATTGTCAGACTCATACCCTGTCATAAAGAGCATAGCGCTCTGCTCCACAGAACAAAGGCAAGGAAGAGCTCATAAATTCCTGTCACTGCTCAAATGATAGTGGGTTTTAGGTAAATGTTTGTGAGCACAGCCAGGAGAGAGAATGGAAAAGGGAACCGACAGTCCTAGCAGGGAGGCTCAGTTGGTTGGAGTTGCTTGGAGCGAAAGGTGGTGGGTTCAATTCCTGGTCGGGCATGTACAGAAAGCAACTGATCAATTGATGTTTCTCTTTCACATCAATGTTTCCCTCTCCCTCTTCCTTCCTCTCTACAAATCAATAAACATATCCTGGGGCGAGGATTTTAAAAAAGGGGGAACAAAAAGAAACATGTTGGAAGATGACATAGAAAGGTGACAGAGAAATGAGGTGGTGGGCATTATGAGATCTGGCTGCAGTGGTTAAGGAATTACCCTGCATATGAACTACACTGACCCTCGCTACATTTATACAGTTTTATAAAAAGGACACAGAGGCTCAAAGAAATAGCCTGTGATAACTGTTCCATAGAATGACAAGAAGGGACAGGTGAAATGGGCTCTCCAGGTGTGCAAATGACTAGCATCTAATAAAGCTCCAACCCTCTAAAAAGATTCATTTATCTACTGGGTATGCTTTGACATTCACTAGGAACTCTAGCTCTTTCCATCAGTCCCTTTCTAAAGAAGTAAGAGTTATCTTTTATAACATCCACACACAAATATGTACACATATTCATACAGATTCACACAGACACACCCACGGACTCTGACTCTCTCCTCTCTCTCTCAACATATATTTTACCTCTTCTTCAGCTTTTAGTGATTTTCTCTTGGTTGGGCAGAATCCCAGTTGGCACAGACCTGCTGCAATATCCCCAAAATGGCGGCAGAAAATCAAGCTCCCCAGAGATGCGTGCTGAGCAACATTTAGGAGGACCCTGCAGCTGGTATACAGTCTCCGGGTTGCATCGGGGGCAGCATCGAGACACACCACGTCTTGAACAACTGCCCCAAACTCAGTCCTGTATCTCAAGGGGACTCCAACACCAGGCATGAGATAGGGGCAGACGCCCAAGGTGACCACAAACTGTAAAGCTGACTGGACAGTCTTCTGCTGTGAGATACTGAGTGTATCTGGGCTCAGGGCAGGGGCGGCTTCTGGAGTCCTTGGGTTGGGTTTAGCTGGATTGAAATCAGCGGCAAGGTGGATCATGGTTTCCTTCAAGCACAAGAGCAACAGTAAGGTTTGCGAGGTAAAACTCCAGGTGACATCCACAGAGTTTTGGGGCCATTCTGCCCTATTAGCAATTTCATCCCTTAGGAGTTTCAGTTTCTTCCAGTGAGGATCCTTCAGAAATTTGTCCTCCAAAGCAGACAGGTTAGATTTTAAAGTAGCCAACAAGACATCATGTTTTGTGATCTGTAGTGAACTTGAGCCTGATCCTTTAAAGGAAAAAAAAAGGAGAGACAACATACGTGGAAAATTAATTGCACTTTCCTCTGTGGAAATGCACTGCCCGCTCCAGTTCCTCCTCTGAGGCCTGGCTCAGATGGCATTGCCTCTGGAAAGCCTCCCTTAATTGTGCCATCCAGCCTAGGCAGAATTCAGGACATTTCCTCCCTTCCCACAGCGCTTCGGATGTCATTAGAATAGCGTTCCTAACATGTTATACTTCAGCTAGTTAGTTTCTATTCCACTTGTGTTCTGAAGCCAGAGGCCATGTCTTAGCTATCTTTCTGGGCTTAAATTGTAGCTAGAACAGAAATTTAGAAAGCTGAACATTTACTATGGAAGATTCATTCACTCAAACTATTCTAGGTGCAGCCATTAAATTATATTGAACATTAATTAATGACATGTTCATTCAATATATTCTAAAGTGGACAAAGTATAAAACACTATATGAGCAACAGATGTAAAGTTTATAGAAAAAATGCAAATGACTTTTAAACATGAAAATATGATCCACTTTACTCCTAAAAGAAAGGTAAGTTAAAATTGTACTAAAATAGCACTTCCCATCTATCAGCTGGCTAAAGTCCAAGTTTTATAACATACTAGTGACCTGGTGCACAGATTCGTGCACATTGAAGGGAAATTAATTAGAAGGTGGCCAGTGGGGCCAGACACACTCTGGAGCCAACCTCCCGTGGTCCCTCCCCAGCCGGCTGCACCTGGGGTGGTGCTGGGGAGTGAGCAGGGTCCCGCCGGCAGGTGGGGTCCCTTAGCCTGGCCTGCAGGGATCAGATAAAACCACTCTCTGACATCGCCCGAGGAGTCTCAGAGTGTGAGAGGGCACTCTGCAAAGTTGCTGTCATCCAAGGTGTGGAACGCAAACGCAAATGTGCAGTAAACCAACCAGATTTGGGGGGACAGTGCCCCAGCAACAACATAACCCACGGCCAAAGGTAGAATCCTGCAGCCCCATAAGGAATTGGGCTCCCTCCTCTCTGGTTTCGGGGTGAGTCACCCGAGAACCACCACTGCCAACTCACTGCAGCTTGGCAGCTCCTGCGTTGAGTGTCTGGCCCCTGGTGGTCAGTGTGCGTTGTAGCGACCAGTCAGCTGGTCGGACACTTAGCATATTAGCCTTTTATATATGTAGATTATGTGACAAGGTTTGGGGAAAAACACACAATCATACATTGCTGGTAGAAACTAAAATGGTACCTCCCTAAGGAGAGAAATTGGGCAATATATAGCAAAATCACATCGGCATTTAACCTTTGCCTAGCAATCCCATTTTAGGAATTCAGGCAAAAATGACATATACACAAGGTATTCATTGTAGTGTTTCTTGTATTAACAAAAGACTTGCGCTAGCCAGTTTTGCCCAGTGGATAGAGCATCAGCCTGCTCCCATGAAGGGTCATGGGATCGAATCCGGTCAAGGGCACGTACCTCGGTTGCAGGCTCCTCCCTGGCCTGGGCCCTGGTCAGGGTTCGTGCAGGAGGCAACCAATCAATGTGTTTCTTTCACATCAATATTTCTCTCTGTCTTTCCCTCTCTCTAAAAATCAATGGAAAAATATCCGCGGGTGAGGAGTAAAAAAACCCACAAAAGACTGAAACAACCCAAATGCCCAATAACAGAAAACTGATTGAGTAAGAAATGGTATGTACCCGTGATGGACTGCTTATAAAAGGGAAAGAGAGAGATTTGTGCCACTGCGTAGTGATCTCTAAGACTTATTAAAATGGAAAAGTGCAGAAGAATGTATATAGCATGCTACCTTTTGTGTAAGAATGGAAGGGAATATGAAATATATTATTTACTTTTATTTTCAAAAATAGCAGTGGGAGAACAAATTAAAAACTAAAATGAGTTATATAGAAAGAGGGAGAGAACAGTGAGAAGATAGGGATTTTTCTTTTGTGCTTAATTATAATTTTAAAAATCTTTACAATGAATATTTATTGTTTCTGTACTAAAAAAAGAAAGTTCTTTTTAAGGCTATAAAACAGTAGGTAGTATATGAGACCGTGTCAAAAAGAAAAATAGTATTTCCCAAAATGCAATCTCTGGATAGTGGGATTAAGGTCATTTTAATTTTCTTCTTTTACTTTTTCTATATTTTAAGCTTTACTATAAGGAACATAAAGTACTTTATAAAAATAAAAAGGAACAATAACATTGTTCTTTAAAAATAATAAGAGTCAGAAGAATTTTCCATTGCTTCTGTAGGGCTGTCCAGGTAAGTATTCTGACCCATGGGCGTGAATATGTGGTTCCTTTGGCTAAAGATACCTAAAAAGTAAGTAAGTGCTCTCACAGCTTGTTGCCACTAACCATGAAGATCACTAAACAACCTCTAAGTGACTTCCTGTGACTTTATAAGATGTTTGAACCCAAACATGGGACACAAAAAAAAGTGATTTAAAGCAAAAGCTGTTTATCGAGTCCCTTAAAAAAGGTAGTCTTTTCTGCCCTCTATTGGTGATAAAAATAAAATCTACTTGAAAATAAAGGCATTCCACCCTCACATCAATTTTTCTCCTCTCTTCTCTCCCTTCCTCTCTCTAAAAATAAATTTAAAAATACTTAAATAAATATACACAATTATCTGAAAAGATGATTGAAGTTTCCTCCCTTTTCCAACCACATGTATATGTGAGTCTAGCCTTTCTTCATCTGTTTCAATCAGAACAACCTATCATGACAGAATGAATGGAGAAGCAAATATAAAAATTGAGCTGTCCTCTAATAAGCCAGATATTAAGAAAATTTGCAAAAATGTAAAACAATGCTATTCTTCCCACTAATTTATTTCATTTTGCAAAATATAATTTTCATGAGAAATGTCATTATGCTAGCATGTAATGGTTTATTAATGTTATTTTTATCTATTTTAAAATTAATGTTATTTTAAAATAAATGTAAAAGGTTTCTCTTAAGGTCTTCATTTCTAATACAGTAAATATAACCCACAGAAAATCTCTTTTAAGTCCTCAACAATTTTTAACAGTGTAAAAAAGTGCTGAAACCAAAAAGTTTGAGATTGCTGCCTTAAAACAATGTTTTCCAAATTTCAGTCACATAGCATTTCCACAATTTTTGTCATTTATCGGAGTACCAGCTATATTGTAATTTGCTTTATTTCTTCAAATTAAATCATTTTTAAACTTAAATTATAATAGCTAATATATTTTTCTAAGCTTTATGTATTTAACTCAAGTCCCACAACAACTCTGTGAGGCAAGGACTATTATTAGTCATTAATCATTATTATTTCCAGGGCATATTCAACTTGTGCAGTCTGGCTCCAGAGCCAAACTCCTGATCACTTCACTACACTATTCAGCCTCGAAATGTTTTCCTACCCACCACCTAGAGCCATTCCTATCACACTTCGGGAAATGCTGCCCTCGTGAACAGCATCATCTAGTCTTTCCAATCAGCAATTTAAATATCTATGCTTTGTGACATTTAAAAGCAGACTTCACGATTAGTAAGGTACTTTTTATTAAGTTCAAAGTGCAAACGATGTGGCATGCAAGAATGAGTGTGATACACTTTCCTTATTTGTAAGTTACTGGAATTTTCAGCCCCTTCTCCCCCAGTGAAACTATATTTAGTATTTAGAAAAGTTATTTTTTAAGAAAACTATTGTTGAGATGGCCCCATTTTTTCTAAAAGTGGAGGTGGAAATATTCTTATTTGCTCCATGACTGAGAATAGAAATGGAAGTCAGGGGAAGAGAAATGCTTAATGCAGCAGAACGTTTGGTAGCTCAAAAGTGAAAGAATGGTGATATCTTCCTTCCCATCTACGTAATTCCCATCTAGACTCAATTCTTCTTCCTCCTGTGGCCTCACCCATGGAGAATTCCTCTAACTCTATCTGTACCACCCATTCAGCACTAGTGTTCTCTTGCCATGTCGAATGCCTTTTAGTTTATAGGTGTGGTACCATTTCCCCCAAACAGACAAGATGCTTGAGAGCACAAGTTGTTATACACATTTGCATCTCCAACAGCACTGAGGACAGAATACTAGAAACAGTTAACTCTCAGTAAATATTACCTCAAAGGTAGTCAATTTACAGATCAAAAAAAGTTTAACCAGGGGGATGTAACTTGAACCAATTACTTTCATCCTGTCTGCTCAAGATCCTCTGCCCATCAGGGACATCTGAATATCATAATGCACTTTAAATTCCTTTAGCGAAAGATTTGATAAAAGAAAACAGTGGAGAGATTCACTCAATATACAACAGACTATATGTGCAAAATAATATCATTTAACGACACTAAATAAATTATTCTTTTTCAAATAGGGATCTAAGCATTCCTATTTGAAAAAGAGTAACTAAGTAAGTTCATGTATGTAATCCCACCACATACTCTTTGAGATTTAGAGTTCTGTAAACAAAGTACGTGTGCTTTGTGATAGATGATTACTTCCAGATTGTTTTGCTCATTTAGCCTTTTCCACAGTCATATGTGAGAAAGCTGCAGTTGCCAGACAAGTGACCACTTGATTAGTAAGTTAAAACTCTACTTTGTGGTTTAATTCTCCGTTGGGGCAAAGTGGTGTAGTCACCACACTACAGTGGAAGCCTCCTGAATTCAAACCCTAGCTTTGCCACTCGCTAGCTAGACTGACACTGAGCAATCTCCAACCGCAGTAAAATGGAATACAAGGAATACCTAGCTCATGTGATTGTTGTGAGAATCCTATCTAATAAAAGAGAAACATGGTAATTGGCGTACGACCGCTACCCTGCCCATTGGCTAATCAGCGAGATATGCAAATTAACTGCCAGCCAAGATGGTGGCCGGCAGCCAGGCAGCTTGAAACTAACATGAGGCTTGCTTGCTTCAGTGACGGAGGACTCCAACGTTCCCTGCCTGCCTTGCTGGCCTCTGAGCCTGCAGTTTAAGAAACATTGTAACAAATATAGAAGCTAAACAAAACCCCAGAAACCAGCTTTCAGTGAGCTGGGATCTCAGAGCTGGAGTTATACATTGTTTCGATTATAGAACCTAAACAAACCAGATACCTTCTTTCAGCAGCAGAGGCCTCAGAGCTGAAGCCAGAGCTAAAGCTGGCCCAGAATAAAAAAAAAAAAAAGGAGCAGTTGGGAGCTTCAGTCCCAGCCTGAAAACAGCCCTCAGCCCCTCACCCAGACTGGCCAGGCACCCCAGTGGGGACCCCCACCCTGAAGGGTGTGTGACCAGCTGCAAACAGCCATCATCCCCTCACCCAGGCTGGCCAGGCACCCCAGTGGGGACCCCAACCCTGATCCAGGACACCCTTCAGGGCAAACCAGCCAGCCCCACCCATGCACCAGGCCTCTATCCTATATAGTAAAAGGGTAATATGCCTCCCAGCACTGGGATCAGCAGAGCCGCGAGGCCTCCAGGCACCGGGATCAGCGTGACAGGGGGCAGTGCCCAAACCCCCTGATCGCCCTGCGGCTCTGTGTGTGACAGGGGGTGGGGCCACAACCTCCCTATCGGCCCTGCTCTGTTCCTGACAGGGGAAGGCGCCCCAACCCCCTGATCGGCCCTGCTCTGTGCCTGATAGGGGGGAGCTCCCCAACCCCCTGATCGCCCTGCAGCTCTGTGTGTGACAGAGTGCAGCGCCCCAACCCCCCCACCCCACGGGCCCTGCTCTGTGTGACGTGGTGCGGTGCCCCAACCCCCCTCCCCCCCACGGGCCCTGCTCTGTGTGTGACAGGGTAGAGCCATAACCTCCCCATCGGCCCTGCCCTGAGTGTGAGAGTGGCGGTGCCCCAACCCCCAGATCGGCCCTGCTCTGTGGGTGATAGAGGGCGGTGCCCCAACCCCCCCACCCCCCACGGGCCCTGCTCTGTGTGTGATGGGGTAGAGCCACGACCCTCCCATTGGCCCTGCCCTGAGTGTGACAGTGGCAGCGCCCCAACCCCAATTGGCCCTGCTCTGTGGGTGATAGAGGGCGGCGCCCCAACCCCCTGATCGGCCCTGCTCTGTGTGTGACAGGGGGCGGTGCCCCAACTCCCCTATTGGCCCTACTCTGTGAGTGACAGGGGGGAGCTCCCCAACTCCCTGATGGGCCCTGCTCTGTGCATGACAGGGGGGAGCTCCCCAACCCCCTGATTGACCATGCTCTGTGCGTGACAGGGGGGAGCTCCCCAACCCCCTGATCGGCCCTGCTCTGTGCATGACAGGGGGCAGCGCCCCAACCCCCTGATTGGCCCTGCTCTGTGCGTGACAGGGAGTGGCGCCGCAACCTCCCCATCAACCCTGCCTTGAGTGTGACAGGGGGAGGTGCCCCAACCCCCAAATCGGCCCTACCCTGAGCGTGACTGAGGGTGGCATCACAACCTCCCAATCCGCCCTGCTCTGTGCATGACAGGGGGCGGCGCCCCAACTGCCCAATCAGCCCTGCTCTGAGCCCAACCAGGGGCTGCACCTACGGATTGGGCCTGCCCTCTGCCACGCAGGAGCAGGCCTAAGCCAGCAGGTCTTTATCTCCCGAGGGGTCCCAGACTTCGAGAGGGCACAGGCCGGGCTGAGGGACCCCCCTCTCCCCCCCCGAGTGCACAAATTTTTGTGCACCGGGCCTCTAGTCTATAATAATAAAAGCGTAATATGCTAATTAGACCAGATGTCCTTCTGGACATCCTTCCGGATGACCTTCCAGATGAAGTCGGGCCTGTGAGGGAAGCCCAGGTCCTGGGTGCTGCCATCTGGAGGGAAGTCTGGATCCCGGGTGCTGGCAGCTGGAGGGAAGCCCAGGGTCCGGGTGCCAGAGGGAAGCCGATGCGGGAAGCCGGTGCTTGCAGCAGGGTGAAGGAAGGCCTACTCTTGCACAAATTTTGTGCATCGGGCCTCTAGTTAAATGATAATAATCGGCATAGTACAGGGATTGATACTTTTTAGGCACTCAGTGACTACTATTAATCACCTCTTTTCATGTCACCCCAGGTAGGGTATGTTTGTGGGAGTGTTTGCAGTTTGGGCGGGGAGGGAGGAGCAGAGGGGGAAGGGGGCATGTCTCAAACTTTGAGACATGAAACATCACCTCACAAGACACTTCATGTACCTTACCCTGCTCACCCTAAACCCCTCTCCACAAATCAGACACTTTAGCTGTGTTCCTTCTCAAAGCTCCAGAGACAGTGGTTCTCAACCTGTGGGTCGCGACCCCTGAAAATACATCCAGCATATCAGATATTTACATTACAATTCATAACAGTAGCAAAATTACAGTTATGAAGTAGCAACGAAAATAATTTTATGGTTGGGGGTCACCACCACATGAGGAACTGTATTAAAGGGTCGCGGCATTAGGAAGGTTGAGAACCACTGGAATAATATGAGCACATGATCTTGGGTGGGTGACTGAGTCTTCGGTGAGGCTTGGGCGTGCTTGGCTGTGAACGGTGAGCGCCGGGCTCGCAGGGGGCCTTAAGATTCTAAATTGGAGCCCTAAGCGGTGTGCTCAGTGGATAGAGCGTCGCAGTCAAGGGCATGTACCTTGGTTGCGGACACATCCCCAATGGGGAGTGTGCAGGAGGCAGCTGGTCGATGCTTCTAACTCTCTATCCCTCTCCCTTCCTCTCTGGTAAGAAATCAATAAAACATATATATTTTTAAAAGATTCTAAATTGGGAACACCCTGTCAAATCACCACCAAAGATGAAAAGTGATTGTAAATCCGCCCCAGACTGTGAATCCCTAAATCTCTCCCCAAAGCCAGCTCAAACGTCACTGCTTCCTTTTGGGGGACTCCCTGGCATTTTGCACACATCTCCAGCGTCCACGTTAGGCCCTGCGCCCCCCAGAGGTTGGGACTTCACTTCACCGTCCCGAGCACCGCGCCTCCGGAGCTGTTTCCGCAGTCGCTGCCGCGGATGCTGCACCGGGACTGGGAGACACCACTACCCAAGGCGCGTGCGCAGTGTCTGGCAGAGGGCAGCGCTCGAGAGAGCCTGGTTGGTACCAGTATCCACAGACTCCCATTCCTCCTGGAGCCTGGGCTTCCTCACGGGAAAGAGGAGGCTGGGCAGACAGTGCCCAAACCCCGGGGGCGGGGCGGCCTCCGGCCCTGAAGCCCCGCGAGGGCCTGAGGGGCGCGCCGTGCGGGCGTCAGAGCGGCCGTGGGAGACTGGCGGCCCTGCGAGTCCCCAATGCCGCCCGGCGCCGTGGTCCGTCCTCTCACCTCCCGGGCTCAGCAGCAGCCTCAGCGCCTCCAAAATCCGCTCCAGACCGCATGTTTCCAGAGGACCGCCACCCGCGGCCAGCCTGGGGTCCGCCATGACTGGAGTGGCGCGCGCCACTTGTGACCTGCTCAAGCGCCTAGAGGCGGACCGGCCCCACCGCCATGTCGAGTGTGGCAGATACTGCGCATGCGCGCGGCCCTGGGGGCGGGGCCATCGATGTGGGTGGGGCCGGCATCGGCGGGAACGCCCATTTGTCTTGATATTTTCTCCTTCCCGCTCTATTGCCCTGGAGGGTGGAGGGGACACACAGCTAACACAACCTGCCTGGATGCACAATTAACCGCTACATAAGGAAGGAAATTAGAAGTAGTTTATCGTGAAACAATGTGTATTTCAGTATGAAAATATTCATGTACTGAATGAAAACTGTTATGCCCAGATTTCAAGATCCCCAAAAAACCACGCCAGGGAGCCAGTCCGATGCAAAAGCAGAGGGTCTCTTATACAAGTTCGCTTGGTCCCCCCCTTGCCTCCATTACTGGGTGCAAGAGAGAGCCCCGAATCCGAAGAGAACAAAGAATTTATAGGGCTTGGGGTCGGGGGCAGGGTGCAGCTAGGGTCTGGTTACACAAAGACGGGGGTGGCCAGCATACTTTTGGCCTTGGGCTAGTCCCCCCCCCCAGATAAGAGCAGGCTGAGTAACTGATACAGCCTGCGGCTTTTTCTTGGAAGAGGGGTTAAGGACACAGCCATCAGTCCTGCTCTGTCCTTTCAAAAACAATGGGAGACCTAACGAAGCAGATAGAAAATTGGTCAACTCAGAACTAACAAGGCTTTTGGTATCCAATAGTTATCAATGACTGATTTACAGAAACAGAATCGCCAACAAAGACCCCAGCAAGTTAAGGGTTTCTACCTTCTAACGCCACATGTGATAAGTGGAGTGGTTGCATTCCATCTTTCATAACTGACCCCTAAATTCTTACCCTATCGGTCTAAAAACCTTAGTCTCTGTGATAACCCCCACCACCCACTCCACAAAAGACATCACTGAAGCTTCTTTTCACTTATCTTAAAGGAAAGGTTTTACCTTTATATTACCTCTCCCTTTAGCATCAAGCAGATCCCTGTCTGAGAGGAACTTTATCTACTGAGGTTTTGGATATGGGGCCTGTGATTTAAACTGACGAAAGACAGATAAGCAAGAGAAAAGCCAGATATTTATTCACATCCTAAAGAATTCACAGAAAAATGTGCCTCGATGAGGTGGTTAGAATTGGGGGCTTGTATGCTTTTATTTTTTATGGTACTACATTTATTGAAAGTGTGAAGATACAGAACCGTTATAAATATCTAGAATTAAAAATTACCTATGAAAATAAAAACAGATTGGTTTTAAAAAGTCAATTTAGTAAATATTCTGTTTGCTATGTTTCTATGACAATATTTGGTATAAACACTACAAAATAAGGCAAACTTCTGGAAAAAGTCATTAATAAAATTTTATGAAAGGGTGTTCAGTCCTAATTTCTTTTAATTTGTAGAATCACTGGCAAAGTACATCAGGCGAGTAGAGCAGTTTCAGGGGTCCAGTTTCAGACAGAAGGAGTCTTCTCTATTTTGGTTCCAGAGGTGGTCGGACGCCCCGCAGCTTCATTTCGTCGAGTCCTTTCCAGTATTTAAAATTGTTGTCCAGATGCTGCAGTAACTCCGGTAGGTCTACAAAGTCGTCCCAAGCATGGTACATGTCTGTGACGAAGTAGTCGATGAAGGAGATCTGGGACTTGGGGATGCTGCAGGTTGTTTTCGGTCAAAAGCTGGCATCACCACAGGTAAGTCCAGCTTTTCTTCTTCTTCGGTCTGAGAAAAATATTCCTCCGAGACGCGTGCAGCCCACTCGATGCACTGCTCCAAGGGCCGGCAGGGGTTGGACACGTCCACGCACTTGATCATCATCTGCTTGATCAGAGTCCGGTTCTCTGGAGACCGGAGCATCGTGTCTACGTCACAGGGGTTTGGCTCACTCCCCTCGCTTTCCTCCAGCTCCGCCCAGGGCTTGACGACGCTGTTGACAAACTTATTGATGTGCTCGAAGTGCCTGGTCATCTCCGTGGCCAAGACCATGTCGATGATGGCCTGGCGCAGCGTCCGGTAGTCATTCCTCTCCACGTTCTTGAAGATGTTGCTGTTGTCCTCCTTGGCGGCCAGCTGGAAGGCCAGGGCCGCGTGGTGGCTCTCCAACACGGCACAGTCGTTGTACAGCACGGCCAGCGCGCTGCCCGCGTTGCACAGGAAGAGGTTGGTCCTCCCCAGGTGGTCCAGGTCGTGGATGGCGGCTGCGATGAGGGCGGCGGCCTCGTCCACTGAGTCTAAGGCTTGCTTGATCCTCTCCTGGCAGAGGAAGTAGGCAGTGGCGTGCGGCATGTCGGCAGCGTGGGTGGAGTTGTGGTAGGGGTTGGAGGAGTGGGAGTTGGCTTCCCTAGTCTGCAGCCACAGCCGCAGCGTCGTCTCCGAGCACTTCAAGAATTCACAGACCCCAAAGCCAGCGAAGATTTTGAGACCAAGAAAAGTCAAAGGCCTTTTCTGAGTGGCAGTCTCCAGTTCAAACACATTAAAGTCTCAGTCGTCATCGTTTTCCATGGCCTCGGCTAGTCACGGTGGGATATCGTGAAGTGCCGGAAGCCGGTCCATCCTTGCTGCTTGACACAGTCCGCTGCAGGAAAGAAACATCTGCACAGCATATGTTTCAAGGGACCTGGCGTATATAGCATACTGTTCTTAATATGTTTGCTCCCCTTAGCGCTGTGTGTTTTAACCAAGGTCACCTCTCCGAGAAAGCTTGTTTCCCCAGGTAGGAATTTTTCCCTGAAGTCAGGGAGGGGATGCCTCTCCTAGAAAGGTTGTTTCCCCAGGTAGGAATTTTTCCCTGAAGTCAGGGAGGGGATGAAACTCCTTAACTAAGTGCCAGGCGGGTAGTTAATCACTACAAACAATCATGCTTAAGCTACATAATCTTTACTCCCTGGAATGGAGATAAGAAATGCCCTAACCTTTGTAATAGAAATTGACAGGATTAAAATCAACTGGGATAAATACGGATGTAACAAGACAATAAACGGCAGAACTTCGCTGGAGATCCAGACCAGAACTTGGCTGGAGATCCTGGCTGGAGATCCTGGCTAGGCTGCTGATCAACTGAACACTGTCTCCGTGTCCTTCCTTCTTCGCCGACTCCATCCACACCTTTGGGAACCCCTGGACCTGCTGGGGTTGGACCCCGGCATCTGGCGCCCGAACAGGGTTCCCTTAGGTAAGTCCCCCCATACTTGGGACGGATAGGACTGCACCGTAGGGTGCTGCAGACCCCCCCCCCCCCATAGAGAATAAGTAGGGTAAGCGGGTAGTTAGTACAGAACTTAGATTGACAAGATGGGTCATACTGAGTCTAAAGAAAAAAGACTCTGTATTAATCTTTTAACGCATATGCTTACTAGCAGAATTGGAGTTGAGGTTTTTCCCAGTGAGACAGAAAGTTTTATAGAAGAAGTATGTCAATGGCTTCCAGAGGAAGGAACTGTTAATTTAAAAACTTGGGTTGAAGTAGGAAAGCAATTAAAGAAACACCATGAATCTGACAAGGTCCTGCCATGTTTCTTTTCCCTCTGGGAGTCAATCTGTGACACCTTGGCACCAGAGGCAAAAACGGTTGAACTTTCTCAAAATTTAAATAGTCCCTCGGCTCCACCCAGAGAGGACACATCATCATTGTCTTCAGCTCAATCTAAAAGCAATTTAGCTATGCCTACTGATCGGGAGGAGAATAAATATCATAAACATGACCATTGTTCCTTTCCAGTCAGTAGAGAGGAGAATGGCCCTCCCATTCAAAACAGGCTCCCCAAATTAGAAAGGAAGCCTAAACCAGGTCCTGTGGCTCCTATGAGCTCCATGTCTAAATTTCAAAGGGCGATAAGAGAAGCTGAAGCTAATGGAGATCTTGAATTCTCACTCTGCTTCCCAGTTACATATGAGAATGAGTCTGGTGGGAATAGAAACCCCACCTTGGAGCCTATACCTTACAAAGTACTTAAAGAATTAAAATTGGCCTGCTCTGAATATGGACCTCTAGCTCCTTACACACAAACCTTGGTAGAAACCCTAGCCAGTAAATGGATGACTCCTTATGATTGGTCACAGGTTTGTAAATCCTGTCTCTCAGGAGGCGATTACTTATTATGGAAAACTGAATATGAAGATCTTGCTAAGAAAGCTGTAGCCACTAGCGAAAAAACCAGAAAAAGAATAACCCTAGACATGATATTAGGAGAAGGTGATTTTAACACGGCTGAGGAGCAAATGAATATGCCCACAGAGGCACTTACCAAAGTAACCAGTTGTGCAGTAAGTGCCTGGAAATCCCTACCTTATACAGCGGGAAAAACCACCACCCTTACAGAGGTTAAACAGAAGGTCGAGGAACCATATCAGGATTTCCTTTCTCGCCTCATGCAGGCAGTCAAGAGAGTAATCAATAACAAAGAGGCAGCCGATATCCTAATCAAACAACTGGCTTTTGAAAATGCTAATAATACCTGTCAGGCTTTATTAAGGCCGATTCGCAGAACAGGAACTATAAATGATTTTATAAAACAGTGTGCTGATGTAAGTCCAGCATTTATACAGGGTGTAGCTATAGCTGCAGCTCTCAAAGGGGAGACATACCCTCAATATGTACAGGCTATAGGACAAGCCAGCAATACTACAGGTAATAAAAGAAATATGAACTGCTACTCTTGTGGCTTATCTGGGCACTTTAGCAGAGAATGCCCAAATAAAAATAATAATACTCAGGCCAGATGGCAAGCTCCTCGACAGCCTGGAAATACATTAGGGAATAATATTAATCCTCCAAAAACCGTTTGTCCCCGATGTCAGAAAGGATTCCATTGGGCAAAGGAATGTAGATCAAAATACCATAAAAATGGTCGGCCTTTAAACTCTACAAATAGCTCCCAAGGAGGTTATATCCCATCACCTCAATCGGGAAACTTGAGAAGGGGCCAGCCCCGGGCCCCTGCAATAATAGGGGCATCAACCTTCAACCCCTTTGCAAATTTCGATCAGTCAGTGACCTCTTCAGGGCAACCCCAGG